CCCCCCCCCGCCCCCCCCCCCCCCCCCACCCCCACCCACCCCCTCCCCCACCCCCACCCCCCCACCCCCCCACCCACACCCTCACACCCTCACACACCCACACCCACACCCTCACACACCCACATCCACACCCACACCCTCACACACCCACACCCTCACACACCCACACCCTCACACACCCACACCCTCACACACCCACACCTTCACACACCCACACCCACACCCACACCCACACCCATACCCCATAAATTCGCAACTTCATACTGAAACATCTATTCACCCATCTACATCATACAGCCACAGCGACACTCATCCACCTGTGATCTATCATTTTGATTTTCTGTATCCACTTATATACCTACATTGGCGCCAGATAAGATGTTAGGAATCAAGTGTTACTCTTTAGCATTCGTACTCGCAGATATGTTTTATTGTCGTTATATGCGTTGTAAGGAAGAAGATAAGCAGTTTTATGTATCTAATAACAAACATATTGAAGCAATAAAATCTTTATCGAATAAATTATTTCCTTTATCAGTAAACTCTATATAAAGACGCGTTTGAAAATTGCGTATTGCTTCAATTGCTATTTTGTCTTAAAAGAATGCTATCAATATTCTTCTTCACTACGTTTCTTGTATGTTTGTCGAGCACTTTACTATTGAGTGATTTTTTCCCATATGGAACTGAGGTAGGTGATTCGATTGTACCACCAAACGACGATGAAAGTGACGGACCTTTTACTCTACCTCATATACTTCCCTACTTTGACAACAATCACCGTCAAATTTGGGTGGCCAATAATGGTCTTTTCTCGTTTCTCTCAGAAGTTTCTACATTTGTACCGGATCCTTTCCCACTAGCAAACGATCAACGTTTCATAACTGGTTTCTGGTCAGACATCGATACGCGGGGTGTAGTCAATGATATTGGTAACCGAGTTTATTATCATATTTACAGCGATACATCTCAATCAAACACTACATCGTTAGTGTTCGCGAAAGCAAGTGATTATGTGCGAAGATTTTTTCCTCAACAGCGTCTGTTCGAACCAACAATGGTTATCACAGGCACTTGGTATCGTGTAGGAGCTTACAGTAGTAAAACAGATCGATTAAATACATTTCAAATAGTATTAGCCACTGATAGTGATCGAAGTTTTGTTTTTCTACTTTATCACGATTTGCAATGGGCCGGACCGGGATATACGACGGAACCATACGCTCAAGCAGGTTTCAATGCTGGTGATGGTATTGCTTTCGAAATGCTTCCGTATTCGCGTACCAAGGACATAGTGCGCCTGGTGAATGAAAGCAATGTTAACGTACCTGGTCTCTTTGTTTTCCGTGTAGACACAGACGAAATTGATCCTGGTGGCTGTAGCAGTAATGTATCTGTTGTTACTCTGCGTCCGCGCATCAGCTCACAGCTAGGATCTACGGCACTGAATATTCAAGGACCATGCTTCAGCAATTCGACCATACTTAAATGTCGATTTGGTTCATTAGCAGAAATCGTCGACGGCATCGTAGTTGATACATTTCGAGCCATATGTTTGACACCCCTTGCTCCTGTACATGGGCCAGTACTAGTGAGTTTATCGATTGACAACGGTGTTTCATATATGCCAGTTAGTGTTTTTACATATGCTCAAATGCAATTTGGCTCCGGTGATGTCATCATTGGCACAGGTAATCGAGACAATCTACTCAATGTTTTACAGTATATCAATCTTACATGGCGTTTTCCGGAATCTTCACGAGATACGTTTCCCAATGGAACTGCCATTGAAATAGAACTAGTCGAAGTAAGCCTTAGCAACCGCTCTCAATTACAACAGAAGAATTCACCTATGATACTTGCTCGAGGCTTGACTCCTGATGTTACTTCATTTCGTCTTCTTTTACCAGAAAGTATTACCTATATTACAGCATGTTTTATCCGTGTTGTAGCTCGTTTTGAAGCCAAAACATATGCTGGACTGAATACAGGCATACTAACTGTACGTAGTCAGGAGTCATTTGCATCTGAATCCTGCGTCGAATGGTCTCGCCAGCAGCCTGAACCGTCCACATGGAATGATGGCATTCTCCCTTGTCCAATGACACGCACACAAGCAGTTGCTGCTGGTCGTTGTTGTTATGAATCTGACAGTCAATGTTACCGAAATAATCCTAATTCCAACAATTGCTGGCTTCATCAAGGTCGTCCTGGACATAATGAAAACTCAGCTGTTGAATGCTATGTATCGAAAAGCTCAAATATTCATGGTGCTGGAACCGAATGTTGTTATGATTTTGAAGGACAAATAATTACGCGCGGCACTGGAGCAGGCACGGACGATCGATATCGACCTGCCGTATTACCAGTGCAACATTTTTTTGAAGATACATTACCATATCTACAATGTTGTATGATTAGTACCAATATTGAAATGTGTAATACATACATGTACTATCGACCGCCACGGCGAGGCAGCAATACAATGGGTCAAAGTGGTGGAACATGGGGTGATCCTCATTTCATTACACTAGATGGAACATCTTACACATTCAACGGTTATGGAGAATATACCTATTTGGCCATTAGCAATGATCCATTGCCACCCGGATCACTTCAATCTTCGAATCGACCACATGTGTTTATGTCACAAATTCGTACTATGCCACTCGAATCAAATAATGTCACTGTTACAAAAGGTTTTGCAGCTAAATCATCAGATCCTGAAAGTCAGTCAATAAGTATAACTGTTTCTCGTCGTGAAAATCTTGTTATGCGTCGTGGTAATGAGCTTCTCGAGTTCGAAGACAATATTCATATGCTATTTTTTCCTGAAATAACCATCGAACGAAATCCAATCGATAGCACTATTCTTACTCTATCGTGGACAATAGGTGTGACTGTTCAAATAAAACTAGTTGAAATGGTATCACCATCGACAGCACTCGTACTCAATGTAGCGGCTTCTGTAACTGATACGTTTCGTGGACGAACATATGGTCTATTGGGTACTTATGATGGTGAACCCACTAATGATCTACGAGCTCAGAATGGAATAGTAGTGAATTCTAATGCTTTGCCCGAAGAGATTCATCGACAATTTGGTGTTACTTGGGCTATTCATACCGATACTTCTTTATTTTACTATGAGTCAGGTCAATCAGCTGAATTTTTCGAAAACCAAAATAGATTATTTGTTCCATCTTTCACCGAACCTATCAATACAGCAGCAGAAGATGAATCTATTCGACGTACATGTAAAATTGCTTCGGATTCTGCATCATCTTCATGGAATGCTGCTCAACGAACATGTTACTATGATATGTCAATAACGCGAGATGAAACGTTTGCACAAACATCTTTTGATGCTGGTGACGAAATTTTATCGATCAAAGCTGATCTAAGAAGTCCACCTCTCTTTAATATTGAACTTCCTGTTTCCATGAAAGCGAAACACGGTGAGCGAATTCATCTGACAATAGACGCTACAAGTAATTATTCCACGAGTGTTATCGTTCTGTCCGCTAACCATCTGCCTAATGGTGCTACATTTAACATACAAACAAAGGTATTCGAGTGGACAGCTATTGAAGGCGAAGATTATGTTCGAATTCGAGCGAAGGATTCAACATACAACTTAACATCAACACATGAAATTGTCTTTCAAGTAGAACGAGCCGATGAAAGTAGTGCCATTCGGTCTGAAATGCAAAGTTCGCTATTTTTCCTTGCTATACTGTTTTGTATGCTTTTTAAATAAGAAAATGAAAGATTGCATAACTCCAACAAACTATCAACAACAAGACAAGACTATTGAGTTATTTAAATAAAAAATATTCATCTATACTTTTATATCTTGATTTTTCAAGCAAAACATAATCATTGTAACGAATCAGCGATTATGATGAGAGGGATTGGAGGATATGTTCATACTGAGAAAAGTTTTCACCACGCTAGAAAGATATTTTACACCCATACAATAGTCTCAAGTCTTTCGTAACTCTCCTGTCAAGTACTTTAGGTGATACGAAACAATGAATTGTACAATACAGTTTATATGATTCAATGCAGCTTGTCTCATTCATCAAAATATTCAACGTTCGAAATAGGTATACTAGCAAAGAAAACAAGAAGGTCTTAAGTAAGAACGACAATATCGGACAAATTGATGACTTCTAATTAAACTTTTGAGCAACACTGTCTCAACTATATAATTAATAACTATACGCTAGAACCCATATACGTAGCAAATTAACGTTTCATTTGCTAAAGTTTCATATATGCTCACTCGCCATTCTATGATCGCAATATTAAAAAGAGTAGGTGATGTTGTCCTGATAAATTCAAGTTATAAAATTAGAATTCAAATCAATTTAGTTTCAACAGAGAATTCGAATCTGAGATGGATTGAGATTTATGTTTTAGTTTTTTTCTGAAGTTTAGGTTCGAACGCATATCAATCACATTTCTACTTAAAAAATATTGTCATGAGTGATTCTATAATTTCTAACAGCATTATACATTAAAATATATCGGGTGGGGTGTGGGTGTGGGTGTGGGTGTGGGTGGGTGCCTGTGTGGATCTTCTCATCATCATGCAGACTCATCCCCAGACCCACACACCCTCACTTGCCCATACCCATATGCCACAACCCAAACCCACATCCCACACCCTCATCCACACCCACACCCACACCCACACCCACACCCACACCCACACCCACACCC